ATCGCAGCCTTCAGATTGGAATTACTTCCGAAGTGTGCGCAATGTCATGCTTGGCGCAGACACTGGGGTTTTTACTGGATACGAGTCGGCATCGTCCTATCCCTGAACCCTAAGCCCCAAAACCCTGAACCCCTAAACACAAAGCCCAACACCCTAGCCTAGCTCCTCAGAGCCGCTCCTGAGGTAGCAAGGCCACGGGGCCAACTTCAAAAGAACAGGGAAGATCCCTGGGAAGGTGGGTAGGGGGGGCTCAGGATTTTCCATTCAGGCTCCTTTAGTGAAGGGTTTCGTTTAGGGGACCTGCAAGGTTGTGGGAATTAGGGTTTTAGGGTTTAGGGTATAGGGTTTAGGGTACTTCCCCAACTCGCAACAAAAGCCATTCCCCAATGATTGCAAATCCTCATGCAGACGCATAGAGTGATACGTCAGTCCGACATCTGCATTAAGGGTGGAGTCTTTCGTACAGCTTCCCAATTTTGCGTCTCAGACGGGGTCTCTAGAGAGCTAACCCTTTAACAAAAAACTCTCAATATGAGGACTAGAATGACAAAATTCGGATGTTGCCTGCATTCCCATATCACAGGCCTTTTTAGGCTGCGTGGAGCCGACAATATGATGGCTGGTCCTGTGGAGGGTCAGGTGAAAAATGGACGGAATACTATAATACGTCATTCCTGGGGACCTCTAGTAATGTACAAGGTCCTACTAGACCCGAATGCTTTAGGCCCGTTATTGAGGCCCATGATGTTTCGTGCTTACACACTGTTCCACGACAATCGGTAAACCCCAAACCCCAATCCTCGAACCCCTATCCGGAATCTCACCCTAACACCCTCAAGCTCTGAACACCTGAAACCCTAAAGCGACGGAGCCCAACATCCGTTACCCGAGCCTGAACCCTGAAACCCTCCAGCTAGCAAGCCCCGTAAAACCTCAAGACACATAGCCTTGAACATGAGAATGCAACCCTTTATGATGTCAACACTGTAGTGTCTTTGTATGCCTGTAGCATTCTCAAGAGTGTAGCCTTTCGACTAAACCTCCTTCAATCCTATAGAGCTTTGCCATTTCCAAATCCGAGACCGTAAGCCCATCCACTTGCACAGATCACTATAGGACCCCCTTCAAAACCGGCACTGAATCTTGGATTCCCAAGTCCTGATTGAGGCCCTAAACCCTAAAACCCTAAACCCGAAACCCTAAACCCGAACCCTAAACCCTAGACCCTGGACCCTAAACCCTAAACCCTAGATTCCCAAGTCCTGAGCGAGGATCCAGCTATGGGCCTTGCAAGCTCCTCGACTTTGAGCTAGCCAGGGCCTGAGCAGAGACCGTTTTGGGAGTTAGGGTTTAGGGAGTTAGGGTTTAGGGAGTTAGGGAGTTGGGGTTTAGGGTTTAGGGAGCTAGGGTTTAGGGGTTTAGGGGCCATGCGTTTTGGGGGGTTCTAAGGACCTCTAGGGTTTAGGGTTTAGGGGTGTTGGGGTTTAGCGGTGTGGGGGTTGATTAAGGGTTGAGGGGTCTATAGGGTTTACAGGGTTTTGGGCTCTAATTTGGGTTTAAGGGTTAAGGGTTTTGGTACGAGTGAAATCAGGGATCTTTCGGCTTAATATAGTGGTGTTGTATGTGCGTCTTGTTGTAGCTCTTTCTTGGGGCATTTACAAAGGGCTTTGTTACAAGGCTTTAGGCGATTCGTAAGTGTAAGGCTTCTTCAAAAGTGGGCCCCATGTTGGGGTTACTTATACTCGATATTATGGAGTCTGTCTTTTCTGTATCTCTCATGCCCCCTCCGTTCTTGGAAGTCGGGTGTTCTTTTTGACGTTGGGCAAACTCGTTTCGGGTGCTGAGGCCAACAGAAGTTACCAGTACAAGCATGTCCCTATTAGGGTGTTAGGCCGACTCCTGAGTTCTTGAACAACAACCCGGCCCGGAGTTAAGGGCCCACCCTCTAGAGCCCCATAAAGCCCAAGTCATCTCGAATTCGAGCCGCCCCACTGTAGCAAAACCATCTGAAGCCCAAATTCCTGACCACCCTCCCATCCCCCCCTCTTCCGCTCCCCACGCCCAAACTTTCTGTAGCTCCGGACGCTGCTTCGAGGCTCCAGGCTTATGGATCGTGGCTGAAGCAGGTATAGGCTTAGGGCTCGGGGGTTCAAGCCCAACCCCCAAACCCCCAAACCCTAAACCCCGCAGCCATCTAATCTTGGGTTTAGGGTTCAGGGTTTAGGGTTTAGGGGTCTTGTCCATTAAGTGGGTCAGCATCTTAGACTGTGTACTCCAATGCTGCAAAACGAAGGGACAGCTTATTTACCAGGTCCTCGACTCTTGAGGTAAGCAGATGGTTCAGACGCCCTTCCGTGTCCACCGCTGTCTCTTCGACGGTCGTTGGTATCCGTGTCTGGCCTGGCCGAGCAAGCGCGACTTCAAGGAGGCTCGGGTTCAGTTGTATCAGGTTCTACCTGGACCCCAAATAACCTACCGTTTTAGGGTTCCTTGTTTTGCTTTCCTTATATAAGTCCTGAAAAAGGTAGGTTCTTTGGGGTCTAGGTAGACTTAGATCTAGGACATTTTCAGGTGGGTAGTTACCGTAAGAGGAGCCTCGCAGCCTCATAGAAGCCCGAATATACCCTAAACTCCCCACCTGTAGCTTCCCTTGACTTAGAGTGGAGTTCAGGGGTTCCCTATGAGGGTTTAGGGCTTTAGGGCTTTTTGGGCTTTTAGGGTTTAGGGTTTTAGGGTTTCGGGATGGCTGTCATGGCTGAGGAAGTTAGGCCGCACAGCAACCGAAGGACCCCTGAGAACTCCCGGGGGCCGTTTTGAGCCCAACCTTGCAGCCCTGGGAGTTCCAAACTCCCCGAACCGACCCTAGACTCTGTACGACGTTATAGGGCTCATTTTTTTCGGGTTTTGGGAGTGTCTTTTCGGTTTTGGGGCTTCGTTGTTTTAAGTCTCTGTTTTGGGATGTTGAACCCTAAACCCCTAAACCCTAAACACTTAAACCCTTAAGTCTTTTTTTTGGGGGTTGTTTGGGATTACCCGCTGTGCAAGGCGAAGGACCTGCTGCAGCATGCACATGGCATAGCACAGAGTGTCTCGGCTGCTCAGGGTTTAGGGTTTAGGGTTTAGTTAAAGCTGCTCAGTAGCATACTTTTTTACTTTTTGGGCTCCTGGGTTCATAGTATATTACAACTAACCTAAAAAGTATATACTTTTTTCCAGGGGGGTTACTGAAGAGCCTAGGTGTGGGTGCCGACAGCATCATCGTCAAGGACTGCCCACACTTGGATGATGCAGGCATCGTGATCAACCAAATCCAGCCTGGGACAGTGCCCGAAACCCTAAACCCCGAAACCCTAAACCCCTAAACCCTCATTTCCTGCTTGCCCCACGCCCCTTCTGAAGCCCTCCCTGTGGAGATCCCAGGAGCTTCTCTCATAGAGCCGTCTCGAACCTTGACTTAGGTTTAGGGTTTAGGGTTTAGGGTTCAGGGTTTAGGGTTTAGATATGAGTTTCCTTAGGGCTCCTTGATATACCTTCCGAAGACCTGCATGCGCGCACTTGGAGAGAGCGAGAGAAAGAGCGAGAGAGAAAGATGAATAAAGAACGACTGAAATACAGGAAGAAAGAAAGAACGAAAGAAAGACATGAAGAACGAAAGAACTAACGACAGAAAGAACTAAAGCAATAAAGGAAGGAAGGGGGGAAGGAAGGAAGGAAGAAAGCAAGCGCCGAAGGAAGGAGGAAAGAGACAAAGAAAGAAGGAGGGAGGGAGGGAGGGAGGGAGAGAGAGAGAGAGAGAGAAAGAGAGAAAGAGAGAAAGAGAGAGCAAGCGAGTGAGAGAGGGACATAGAGAGAGAGAGAGGGTGTGTGTGAGAGAGAGAGAGAGAAACAACGAGATGGCAGGATAGAAACTATGGGGCTCGAAAGCCCGTAACCGACTAGCTTCTAGGGCTAGCACTGGTCTCCCTAAACCCTAAACCCTAAATCCTAAAAAACCCTAAACCCTAAACCCTGGTTCTGCTTGCTACATGCCAGTGCAAGGCGCGGAGCTGAATCTTTGAAGCCCTACGCTGCTTTATAATAGAGCGGTCGGAATAAACTGCTTATGATGTTAGTCCTTATAGCTCCTGGTTGCATATAAGTTGAATTACCATACTAAACTATAATATACCACCCAAAAAGCCTTACTCTAACTACCTATATTCAACCCGAAACTGCAAGGCGGAGAGTACATGCGGGTCCTGCAACAGATCAAGGAGCTGGAGGACCTGGGAGAGACATGTTGCTATTCGTTCATGGCTGCCGCATGGAGCAAGAACGAGATGGGTGCAGCCTTCGCATCCGTTAAGAAGGTACCGGGGGCGAAATAACGCACGTGAAGACACAAGGGTCTGTATTGGGGTATAAAGGCCCTTACGAGGCGGAGTATGAAGAAGACCTGAATTGTGACAGCTTTGCTTCCACCCAACCTTCGTCGAACTTCGCTTTGGCCTGTGGGTAGCCCGGGTGTTCGTCGAGTTTCTCCCGGGGTCCTGCCCATTGCCCGTTCTGATGCGTTTGCCACTCTATAGAAACCCTATGAAATGCTAAACCCTAACGGAAGACCCTAAAGCCAAGACCTCATATACTTGGAGCGAAAAACCAAAAACCTGCTTGAACCCTAGACCGCCTAAACCCAAAGAGTTTTTTCGGGCCGCTGGTGAAGGATAGAGCAGCCCTGGCGAAGCTTGCTTTGGCTCTGTCGGCGTCCCAGGAGCTTGGCAAGGAAGAGCTTGCAAAAAAACTACAATGGCTGAAGAGCTCCTCGGTTAAAGCAGGCTTCTCCGATCTCCTTGAGCACCTTACCTCCTGAATGGGAGAACGTTAAACACTGTTGGGCTGTTTTAAATTTAGTGCTTACTGGTACCTCAATGGGAGAACTCTAAACATGTTTTGGGGTTTTAGTGCTTACTAGCAAGTTTGAGCTTTTGGGCCTTGGTGTTTGCCGAAGAGTCTCAAGAGAGGCATTGGTCCCCTTCTGCAGCGCGGAGCGATGCGGTCCAGCCATCGTCAGGGCCACCTGCAGAAGCAGCTTTGGGCTCGGTATTGGCATCGGAGGCTCGTGCAACTCTGGAATCAGTCTGGCCCTCGACTCAACCCACCGGTGCACCAGCGGACCGGCCATCACCTGCAATTGCAGCTGAGCAATCGGCCTGGCCGTCGATGACCCCTGCAGATTCCACTGTGGACTCTGTGTGGCCATCGGCGCCGCCTTCGGGTGCAACTGAGAAACAGGTCCGGCCATCGATGACGCCTGCAGAAGCCACTGTGGACTCCGTATGGCCATCTGCAGC